GTGGAGCCTCCAACATACAACAAATGAAACGGTGCGAGTGTAGCCATGGTCACCTCCAGTTGGAGCAGTTTCAACCCAGGGCAGTGATAATTTGATCCATTAATCAAGCCCCGAATGATTTCAGTTTTCAGACTGATGTGTTAAGGTAAAATTGTTTTGCCTGGATACACTGAATGAAAACTCCAGTGGTCTCAGGTGGGTCAGATATTGCTGCGCTGTGGTCAGCAATGTCTGTGGCAGGAATAGGGAAGAAAAGGGCTCTTAGAGCTTCAGACAACTGATTTTTATCTACTACTGCATATCTGCTAGAGCCTTTAGAAAATAAATGCGTCCTTGGAGCAGAAGCAAGATGTTGATTGTGGGGTAGGTCTCCTTTTCCCATCAAAGTTATACTACCCATGCAATAATAAGAAATATTAAACATACTGTCTTGCTGGTCTGGTTTCCACTTGAATATTTGTTCTTTTTCCGGACTGTGGTACTTCAGCTCCAAGACAGACTCGTCTTGTCTTTTGCTTTTAGGGCAATTGCACTTGTATTTCATTACAGGTAGATTAATCTTCCCTTTCCTGCAACTGTTTTTGTAAATCTAGTTTTAGTGCAGTTTTGATTTACATCAGAGAAATGGCCAGTAAAGGGAATAACACAACACAATATATTTTCATTACCATTTCTATGTGCTGTAGCATTCTGACAGCAAGTTAGAAAGAAGCTGCACTGGGCTTTATGGAAGGGATGGTAGTAATTAATCTTCATTAGGATTGCTGCCATGGCCTTGTGAATTAAAATTTATTACGTGAAAGGAGGTTTGTGGCACAACATGTTTGATTAGCAAAATGCCAATATTTAAGGGATAAATTATTCCTAACTTTTCTGAACTGTATTTTATTAGTAGATTCATTTATTATTCATGCACGTTTCTTTGAGAAAGAGCTCGTGAACTACATTACAGTCTGGAAACTCAATCTATGGACTGCAATACAATGACAAGGGCAGTTTGTTTCAGTGCAGTGTTGGTAAGTCTAGATGGCAAAGCATGCTCTGATAAATGTTAACTGAAACAGCCTGCGGTCTAGAGGTCTTGGAGTATCATGTTGTATGAAAAGCAGTGAAGTGGCTCAAGATCTGTGTGGTGTAACATCTCAGATGACTGACTCAAAAGCACTAAATGGCTGACTCAAAAGCACTTGAAAGCTAAACGTTTAGGACATGCTGCGAACACTCCTCAAAACACACTGTAAGACTGTTTATTATTAAGAGAGTTTCCTGGTGTATTGCTGTCAAGGTCATAGTTAAATCTCCTGCTTCCCAGATACCGTTCATTTTTGCTGCCATTTATTTCAGAGACGGGATGCATAAACTGTACTTTGTATTTCCGCAATAAAAATTATCTGTCAAATGGTAGTGCTTTCTGTTGTTGTTACAGCTGTGTAAATGGTGGCCACGGAAATTATTGTGTGTGTTGATGAAGTCGGCTGTTCGTACCTCATCGTGTATGTAAACACAGCCAGCCACAGTAAAGCATGCCGTCAGGCAGCTTCAGACTGTGGGAGTAGTTCAGGCTACAGCAGCAGCGAGAAGCTGGGTTGCACCAGATGGTACGAGGAAGGACTTGTAATCCAGCTGCACATGCCACTTCTAGATGTTATAAATAGGAAAGGAAGAGACACGCTGGTTTTGGTTGGGATCCCTCTGAATTGTGAGTTTGCCTTCTAACTACGTTTTTTATGTTAGAAAATAATTCGCCTGAGAATTACCCTATTTTGTTTTGGCTGTCGCAGTGGATGGCAGCCAGTAGCGGGCGTGCGAGGAGGGGTGGGCACTGACCAATGATGAAAAGGTTTGCTCTTCAGGGCGTGCTGACAGCCCTTCAGTCAGCAGAGCCCAAAGAGGAATTCATTTGGCAATTCCAGGTGCATAAGTCACCCCAGTAGAGCTGCTTTCACAGGCTCTGCTTTTTTACGTGTGCACCTGGGCATTGCACCTATTACACTTCCTCCCCCAAAACTTTCTGTCTGAACGCTTAAGGAGAAGCACCCAGAGGGTGTGAGGCGTGCACCTTGCCCTCCTGGTGTGAGCCGTCTTGCTTGGCAATACCCGGCTTCCTTTTTAAACCACCATTCTCACCTTCTCCTCCACAGTTTCCTGTATCTCCTATCGTTTTGCTTTGACTTTTTGTGCTTCGTTCCAAGCCTCTGTTTCTCTTCATCATGCAATAGCTTTTTTACCATATTATCTTTTCTGTTGCTTCCTGTCTTACGCATTCCTCCTTATTCCCTTCTCAAACTTACTGCCTAGCAAGGGTCAAATTAGTGTGAAAATATGCCTACTGCCGACATGCAGATACGTCTTCAGTACGCACTATTAATCTAGCAACGTGACGCCTTAGTAATAATAAGAGACAGCTTGACTCAGCATAACCTTCCCACAAAGCTTATGATGGGAGTTCTTGTGTTGCAGGCCTTCTGTTTGTGGGAAAAAATAGAAACCTCACGGTTCCTTCTGATTGCTTTATGCTTAAATTTTATACCTTACAAACATCTGGGCCTATGGTCACCTGAAACTCCACAGTGAAGTGCTAGTTTTTATTATTTAAAGTCTGCTGTTCTGTAATTTGTAAGGTTTCTGCGTTGTTTTGGTTGCTTGGATTGTTGTGCACTCGTGTCCCAGGTGAAGCATTAGTTGACTCCAAATGCAGGCTGAGCTTCGGAGTCCAGCCGCCTGCTGGGAGTAATTGGCTCTTTTGCAAGCAAGCTAAGAATGCTTTTATTTGATGAAGTTTCAGCCTTGTGCTTTTAAAGTGAACCCTCGTAATCTGTCCTGGTCAAAGAGAACCGTGTGAAGCTGCAGCCCGAACACACGCTGGCCACCTGCAAAGGGAGTCGTCGCGATTTACAGTATTTTCATATACTGTCAGTATCGCTTTAATATTTTTGAACTATTTTAAGCCCTGCAGAGAGAAATCACAATCCCTGTCCCAGAAAAGCAATAAAATAGGTATTGGTAGCAAACGCTGAAAAACCAGCCCATGCAATTGATAGCTCAAAAATGGCAAGATGCTGTATTGTTTGAAATGTCGTTTCGTGAAAAGTATTTAATGTGCAGGCATCAGGTGTTGCTTTACACTGTTTCTGCTGGATGGGCAGGGGAAGAACAAGATAAAACTAGGGATTTTAGTTCATCTCTGGGAATATTAGGGGCATCTCAATGGTTTTTCCTCCTCTCTCTGTTGTAATGAGTAGGCAGTAGGCACTGCTCCTATATGAAAGGGGGGGGATGGAAGAGAGAGACAGGCAGGTTACGTGTCCGCAGTGTTGGTGCAAGGCTGCCCAAACTAACGCTCCTCCCTTGTCTTCGTGGCGAAGCAGCCAGAAGGTGCAGTGACAGCTTCTAAACAAGCTAGAAAAAAGGGAGGAAATTTTGTACTGCTAGTGATTCTCCGAGAGCAATTAGGAAAATCTTGAAAACTGCCATGTTCTGAGCTGCTTTGTGCATAACTCTGTTTTTCAGCAAGTTATGAAAGCAGTATTTCACACGCTGGTAATTAGTTCTGTTAATGGAAAAAAACAAGGTGGCCAGGTAAAGTTGGTTTGTATTGGGCATTAGGTTCATGTACCGTATTGGTTTAGAGCACAGCGTTCACCAGTTTAAGCTGTTAGTAGTAACTGCTGTTTGTAATCGTTAAATCTCTAAATCAGTATTTCCCAATGAAAAAATTCCCAAACGTGATATTTACACTTAAGTTATTGCAAGTGTTATTGCAATTTTAAAAGCTTTTGTTGAAGCATTTTTTGAAGAAAATTGAATTTTCTGTGAACGCTTTCTGGGAAATTTGCCAAGTTTTAATTGAAAATTTGAATTTAAAAATCTAGTTTAAAAAGCCTAGACTCAGTCTTTGAAATTTGGGTTTTCTTTTTCCTGTATTGTTTAAAATACAAACATGGGAAGTGAGAATGCCATCTCATTTCAGCTGTCTTGTTTGGAGGGAGTACTTTGGGGGGGGGGGGAGCGGGGGGGGGGGGGGTACGGTATGATTTGGGGGAGACGGGTTTGAATTTCCATTCTTCCGTACAGCGTAGGAAACCCAGGTCTGTATAACCTGTTAAACAGATGTAGTCAAGATTACTTAAAACAATTTTTTTTTATATGTCAGGACAAAAACTGTGCAAAGAAACTGCAGGCAAAGATGACAAAACTGTCCTCGTGCCGGTGGCGTTGCTGGCTGGCGTCGCCGGAGGGGGTGGGAGCGCGGCTGCCTCGCAGGAGCCCCGCGCCGGACCCGCCAGCCCCGGCACGGGCACCAGGGCAGGGCTCGCCGCCTTCCGTGGCTGCTGTTTGGCTGTGTGACAGAAGTCAAAGTAATAAAACAGATACACAACCGTTTCAGCTAGATTTAAGGCTGCAGAAGGCAATTCATTCGAGTCTTACAAAGGCAGCAAGAGAAATAGAAATTCACCAGGGGGAAAAAATGGGTTTAGGTTTGTGTCTTCCTCTCAGGGCAAGACATAATTCATAACTTACCAGGACTTATTTTGAAGGAAGGAGGAAGAAAGGCTTGAAATGAGGTGGACCCAAATCAAAACTTAAATCCGTAATAATAAGTGTAGCCAATGGAATGACAGTTCTCATATTTTTATTTTTGTTGCGTATTTATTTTAGACGTGATGCTGAATGCATGTCAAGTCAACTCACATATATTACTGGATGAGTTTTGTCAAGTTGTCTGTCACTATATAAGGCAACAAATACTGAGTAAAGCTGATATCAGTATCCTGATATACTGTAATCAATTAAGACAGCAGAATAGCCACCAGTGCCTCAGCCTGAAAGCAGTTCTAATTTAGACATTTAGAGTTCATCTGCTCGTATTGCTTTAGCCTTCCGAATTGTAATTTTATTTCTTTTATCTTGACATAAATTTGCCTTGTTTAAATTGTTTGATTGCATGATGATATCGATTGCCACAGTTGTTGATAAGAGTAATTGATTTGTTTCTGCAGTGAACCTGAGGAGAGGAGTGGAAGAGAGAAAAGAAGCTGTAGTAACAGCAGTGCAGCAGAAGAGCCGCCACTGAAAAGAAAGAAGGCTAAATTGAGCCATGAGGAAGACCCCTTTATGCCATTAGATACTGGGCTTTCCCTGGCAGAGGATGAAGAGCTTGTGCTACATCTGCTCAACAGTAATAGCTAATAATTTTCCTGCAAGTTTTCTTTTCTGGGACATCTTCACTCTTTTGTCAGTAATCTGCGCAAGAGCAGTTTGGCATCTGGGGAGACGGGTACCAGTGGACGGAGATAAATGAGCTCATGGACAACGAGCTTGCCTCTCATCAGCTCGTAGATTATAGACAAGGTTTAGCTGTTCCGTGAACATATTAGGATATGTCGTTTTGATTTATAAGGATTTCTAAAGCAACTTTCCAAACGAAATCCGCAGATGACATTTTACAGTATAACATTTATAATTGGAGCCCTCCAGGTTTTGAAGAAATCATCATTTTTAAAATTCTAATGTTACTTTAAATAAAAACAGGATGTGCCCTTTTTGGATGTGCCCTTTGTTATCTTAGAAGATAAATATATGCTAGAATTATCAAAGAAGAAATGCTATTGGCAGCTCAAATCATACTACTTAAAAATAAGATGCATTTTTTTCTTCTGTGTATCATGCACATATGTTTAAAATATTTTATTAAAAAGCCTGAAGCTTTGGTATAAACTTTGTCTCTTTCAGCTTTGTTATGAAAGCAAGTTATTCTTCCAGACAGCTATCATTTCTCCTATAATTCTGTCACCTGTGTTGGGCAATTCAGAAACCACTTTTATAAGCTAAAACTTTGATTCTTGGGTTTTGATTTTGAATCCTATATAGATCAGTATGCAGTGAGGCCATGAACAGTACAGCATAATACTGCCTGATAAAATTGGTTACAAGGTACAGTTTTTGTGGCAGGAGTCCCTGAAAGATTGGAAACCAGGATTTTCTGTTATAACCAAATATAACAAAGAAAAGAGTATTTACCTTTGTTTTCTAGCATATTTTACATCCCATCAAATCCTGCAGTTTCTTGCAGATTTTGTGTATGCTTTCCCATAAGCTCTGCACTGTGATAAGAGCAATGAGACATATCATGTGCTGGCCCTTTCCTGCAGGTGTTTTGAACTCTTTGGAGGCTTTCTGGTGTGCAAATACAAAAACAGGAAAAAATGGAGCTGTGAGGAGACAATGAAGCTCCTTTCGAACATATGACATGAGGCAGCATAGTCGCCTGGATTTCTCTAAAGAAATCTGGCGTACGTAATTCAGCCATTAATGTGTTGCTTATTTAAATTTAAAAGTGATGATTTAATGAATTTATTTTTCAGTTCTGGTTGGGTCTTGAAACGTTTGCATCACTGAATGCTTCCGCATATGTGGAATTAGCATCGGATTCTGTTGTGTGCCTTTTGCATCAGAACTCACAGAGGGTTTTGGTTTTATCACTCTGGCTCCTACTTACGCAAGGATGCCCTGGAACAAGGGACTACCTGACACCTGAGGAAACCTCCACAATATTGGCCCATCATTCAGAAGAAAGCATGATAAACCATTGCAGACAATATGGAGAATGATCAAAACTGCTGAGTGTTTTGCAAAGTTAAGAAGTGAGCTAGGTAAGAGGAAGGCTGCTGTGTGAGAGAACAAAGGAGAGCAGGCAAATCCAATGTTTTGCTTGTAGACACAGTTTTGTTGACAGCAAACAGACATGCAAAGTGATGATTGTCTGTTTTCAGCAGACTTGTATCTTAGTGAAGTTTACATGGTAAATTACAGTGCAAAAAGTAAAACACTGCATAGATATAAATGCCTGTGGGCTTTCACCCATTGCTGTTGCTATTCTTTAGCAAATCAAGAAGTATAGATTGTCTGGAGAAGCTTGCGTACCAGTGGTCTTCCTTCACGAAGAAGGCTCTGATGTGAAGCTGTCGTGATCGTACTTACCCTTCGTCATCTGAACAGCTGCAATGACTGTGATGAGCAATGTCAACAAATGACTCTGTACTGAAATAACGTTGACCCTGGCTCAGGAATTGTGAATGAAGGTGATAAGCTCACCAAATCGACGCAGGGAGCATCAACAGCAGGGAGCTTTTCAAAGGTGAGCTGGGTGAGGATGATAATACAGCGGGATATAGCCTGTCTTGTTCAGATGGATTCATGGATCCAGAGTGTACTTGGTGTGGTAGTGAGATGGTTTGTCTGTCACCAGAGTGTGCCAAGTCAAATGTTTGCTCTGAGAGGCTTTAACATAGTTTGTTGGAGGAAAGAAAGTGTAGTGAGCAAAGATTTACCATTTTGTACTGAAACATCCATATTCATTTTCTTGCCTTGCATGGGAGAGAGAGAAACGTTCTTACTCGGTAAACAGAGTAAAAAATAGGTTTACGTATATTGGAAGAACTGTACTGCATTTTTGTTTTTGCAATGCTTTCATTATCGGCATAAAACTATTTTCCAGTTGCTCTTACTTTTGTATTTCTAGGTAATGTAGTTGGCAATGCATTTGTATTGTCTGATGTGGAGTGATACTTTTTGAGCCCTCACTAAGTTTGCCCAGCTACTTGAAATGTACCTGTCCTTGAAGAGGAGAAATTTGTTATCTAGAGTACTTACAAGAGTGGAGTCCTGTGAAAAAATGGGGGAAGAAGCTTGCGGCAGATGCTTCATGCTATGAGTGTGCCCCAAATTTGGGAAGTGCTAAATGCACTATAAAAAGTGAAAAAAACAGGATTCAGCATTTTGAGGCAATGGCTGTGGTTCTGGGTTGTCATTCCCCTCATTCGTAGGTCTGGGTTAAGAGGTTCCTACCCAGCTCTGCTTATAGCTGTGTTTCTGCAGTGAGAAAAAGTTACGCGTGCTCCTAAATCACATGTGCTTTAACAGGAGTAGCCTCCTCCTTGGCTTCCGAATGGGTGCAGCAGTGCCGAGTGCTGCGAGGGCACCCAGGGCTGCAGGACAGGGTGGCAGGCCCCCACTCGCCTCAGCTGCGGCGCCCACCAGCTTGAGACAGAGGGGAAGGATGGCTGCTCCTGTGGGAGCAGTAACAAGCTCCAGGTTTGGAAGGCCGCTGGCCTGGAGAAATTGTCTTAAATCATCAAGCAGGAAATCTTGTTTTAAATAATGGATTTTCATGATGTTTTGCATTTTTACTTAATGATTGATTTCCTTCTGCTGCTAGAATGGTTCCAGTGTCTTGATTTATACCTAGGTATATAGAGTTCAGACTAAATCTAGTACATTTAAACTAATTCTGAGGATTTATATTACACAGGTATGGGGCGGTATAGTGTAGCAGGCATTTATTCCGAGTCTTCAGTTTTCTGAGTGTTGCATAGAAAATAATTGAGTCCTTTGTTTAGTGAATAATTTATTACTCACAATTTGTTTCAAGCCTCTTTTAGATGGAAAGTGCAAATCAGTTAAAAGTCCATATGACACCATTTAAAAGCTGTTTTTTAAGATTAGTTTAATAGAGTGACACTAAATGAGCTTGCTACAGAAGACATGCAACTTACAGTATTTCCATGAGGCATTGTTGCAAAGATGCTTCCCTGCCTCAGCACTGTAGAAATTTCTGTTAGGTATTCATCTGCACTTTGTCAAGAGCTGATTGCTGCAGCATATTAAATTGAATGAAGAGTATGAGAAATTTAGGCTCTAACATAGGTGGTTGCAAATTAATATTTAACATTTTAAAATGAGTTTATTTTCTCTTAAACATGAATAGAAATAGTAATTTTTATTCTTCCTGCAACTGATCTGAGTCCAACTAGAATATTGACTGCTATGTCCTGCTCTCTGGCCAGCCTCGCCTCCCGAAAGGAAAGAAATGCCTGAAGCAAAACATTAAAAAACAGAGAGCTGTAGTAGGGAACATTCAATTCAGAATATATAAAACGGTGCAAGGTCTGAAGATAGGAACCTGCAGGGTGAGTTCACTATATTCTGGTTGCAAAAGGGTATTTTTGCAAAAGAGTTGCAAAGTTTTTTTTTTTTTTTTTTCCTTACCATGCTACTCTTTATTTTGACCTCATTGATGCTCGTTTCTTGTGAGAGAAGGCTGATTACGCCTTGAAGCGGGAATGGTAAGCTAGAGTGGGCCCTTGCTGCAGAAATAGCCACTGCCGTTAAGTGAGTTGCTGGTTTACTGCCCCTGCAGAAACCTTCTTCCAAAGTAGTAACCTGAGCCTTGAAAGCACAATTTAGATTAAGCTGGTTGATTCTGTGCTGAGAGAGGGACCCCTGTCCCTCCACTCGGCTAACTCGGCAGGAGCTGGTCGAAGAGCAGTGGCGTCTTCTGCTGCTGCAGCCAAATTGCTGTTGGTTTGACGGAGACCTTAGCCAAACCTTGAACCTGCATGCTTGCGCGCATCCTAACTCCAAGAGAACTAAAATTTCCAATCAATAGTTTTAATAAGAAAAGGCTATTACCCTATCTTTTTGGCCATCTTTCATTAGATTTCTTGGTTTTATTGCTGCTTTCTGCTCTGGTTTGCAGCTTCTTTGAATTTAGTTTCGTCCTTTCAGATTAATTATTTATTCTCAGAAGGATCAGCAAGTTTTATCTTTAAAAATTGTAACTAGATGCCAGCCAAAGGCAATGTCATCTTCTTTGTAGATCATAAAATTTGCTGTAAAGACTTAGTCCCCAAACTTTCAAGGCAAAGGAGTCAGTTAAGAACAACAAATTAGCAAGGCTAATGCAAACAGAGAATTTTTTCAGACCTGTTAGGAGATGGTGCTATGATTTATCAGTAGGGAGAAGTTGATTTGCTCTAAGAATTCGCAGTGCGTTGCCTGTTCATGTCCACGCCTGGCTGGAAGCCTTCTTTTGCAAAGAAAACTATTCATCAGATTCAGTCACGTTAAAATGATTGCTTAAATTACACAGGGCTGGCTACCAGATAACAGATTACCCAGGAGTGGAATCTCTTGGGTAGATGCTATCTTTTGGTTTTGCACATCGTCTAAGGTTTGTTTTGTCCATAAAATATAGATAAGTTTAAACCAAATTAGTTTTGTTGAGCAATATTTGAAATCCTTGCAATTTGAGAAGGAGCCTTGGTGAGATTTTAGCTGCATTAAAAGAAAACCAGCGAGCATAGTTCTAGTCATGTGTGGGATCCTGAAGTAAGATAATGTTCCTGGCTATGGCTTTTCTGGTGCTACAGCATGATAGTTTTTTGCTACCACTGCACTGAGCACAGTTTATATTTAACTGAAAATGTTACCAGGCCTTAAGGGAAAACATTAGGTTTTGTTTTTAAAATAACTTTGTGTTCCCGTCTTACAAGTCACATAATAACGTGGGAACCGTTTCTCCTAGCAATGAGGCTATTCCAGCAAGCACTCAATTGCCCTGAAAGATTTGCTAATGTATTTCAAGCTGATGCACTGCCTTGTCAATGGAGGGGCTGCTCCCAGGCACGCAAGCGTGCCTGGCCTTGGGGCTTGTCCTGGACCGGCAGCAGCGGTGTGAGCTCTGCCCTGGCTTCCCAGCACA